TTCTGGAGCCTAAGAGTCTGATATCAGGGCACCAGCATGGTTGGTCCCTGGTGAGGGCTCCCTTACTAGTTTGCAGATGGCCGCCTTCTTACGGTGTCCTCATGAGGCAAAGAGAGCACTCTGGGCAGGAGTCCCATCATGAGGACCCCACCCTCACGACCTCATCTAAACCCCATCACCTCCCCAAGGCCCCTCTTCCAAATACCATCACCCTGGGGGTTTGGGCTTCAGAGTGTGAAGGCTGGGGGGACATGAACATTCACTTCTTAACACCATCCACTGTCAGACCCTCCATGGTACCTGCCACTTTAGTCCAGTTGTTCTTTTCCTCTTGCACAGCTGGGACCTGTCCTCTCTTCACCATTTACCGATGGGCAAACAGAGGTTCCAAGCAGGAACGCACCTCCCCAGGCCACTGGGACCCAGGCCTCTCTGACCCTGGTCCTTTCTACCATGCCCCACCACGTGGACGAGGGGATGGGAGAGGGAGAGAGGTGAGGGGCGAACCAGCCCTAGGGGTGGCAAATCCATCTGGGACCTGACCAGTGTGAGATGTCTTCCTGGAGGCCATGCCTGCCTCCCCTGGCGTTCTCGCTCTGCAAGCCTCCTTCCCACCCGCTGCTGCTCTCCCGGTGTGGAACAGTCCCCTGTTCGTGGTTAATGCCCTCAAAGCCCAGCACCGTGTCCCAGCACTGTGGGAGGAAGACCTCTTTGCCCGGATCTGAACTCCTTAATCCTAATTGCGGTCCTCAGAGCATTCTTCCCCTGGCAGCTGGCATCCCTTACTTGGGGTCTCTAATCCCTGCCTGACCTTCCCCTGTGCAGGTATGGTGTGGGCACAACAGCACCAGCCCCCCTCTCCAGCTGGTATGAGAGACGTTGTCACCCTCAGGCTGCAGGCAAGGGAACCCTGGCTCAGAGACGCTCAGTAACCTAGCCAGATCACACAGCCCTCAACTGGCTGGGTGGGGCCTGGAGCCTGGGCCTCTGTGTCAGGGAACACTGGTTTTCTTCCTGTCTGCCCTCCCGTCTCCCCCTCAAATTCCTGAGCCTTCTCATGTTCTCCTGATCTGCTGATTCAAGGGAGGCTGGTGTGAGGGAAGCATTTCCGGCACATCTAATTAAAACTGGCCGTCGGGATGGTTGGCTAGAGCCCAGGGAAAGCCAGGCTGGGCAGGGGAAACTGGCTGCAGTGGCTCTGTGGCATTCGCTAACCACCTGCACAACAGAGGCAGCCAGTCTCTGCCTTAAAGTGGGTCTCCTGGGGGCGTCACCCTTGTACCGACAGGATCCGGCTCACACACCAAAGCCTACAGGTCTACACATGGGCAGGCAGGGGTGTGCCAGCACCCGGTCACACAGCCCAACTGGGGTGACAAGGTCCCGGCTCCACCCGGACAGGCCAAGAGGAGGGGCAGGAGGTGGCGTGGGGTGGGAGCCCTGCCCGGGATCCTTGCTAACTTCCGGAGACACGGTTCCTTTGGGTTCAACGACAAAAATAACTTCGTTTTGATGACCTAAGGAATGCTACTCATGGTTAGAAACCTCAACAGTACATCAAAGTTGAAGGAAAATTTAAAATCCCCTGCTTCCCTTTTACTCTGAGACGGCCACTCTTAACAGCTGAGTGGCAGCTCTACCACATGTTTCTGTAGGCCACAAACAAAACCACACATTCTCGCACACCTAGGACATACGCTATGACATCGCATCCTAGAATAATTCATCTGTCTTCTCGTAAGGCAGCGCCTCGATGTGCTTTCAGAAACAATATTCTCGGCGCCTCCACAGAGCCTACCCAGCTCTGCAGACGTGCTCGGTGTACACATGTGAAAATCATAACTTCATTGAGATATAACTCACACAGCAGTACAATGTGCCTGTTTGGAATGCACACTCAATGGTTTTCGGTATTTCACAGAGCTGTGTGCTGATCACCATAATCCAGTTTAGAAAGTTTCCATCACCCCAAAAAGAAATGCTGCATCCTTTACTGTCACTCCCACTCTCCCTCCGCAGCCGCTGGTAACCACCAGTCTGTCTCTGTGGATTTGCCTGCTCTGGGCATTTCATGTGAACGGAATCCCACACCGCGTGGTCCTTTGCGACTGACTTCTTTCACTCGGCGTCATGTTTTCGGGGAGAATCCGTGGTGTGGCAGGCATCAGTGCCTCGTTCCTTTTGATGGCTGAGAAATATTCGTTGTATGGACAGACACCGTGTGGCTCATCCATTAGTCAGTTGATGACCTTTGGGGCTGTCTACTTTCTGGTGATTATGAATAACGCTGCTATGAACATTCAAGTGTGAATATTCGTGTGGACATAGGTTTGCATGTCTTTTGGGTAGATACCCAGGAGTGGAGTTGCTGGGTCCTGTGGTCACTCTGTGTGCCACATTTCAAGGAACTGTCAGACTGTTTTCCACACCAGGTTCTGATTTCTACGCATCCCCACAGCCAGCTCTGGGTGTGCCTGCGATTGTGATCTAGCCATTCTAGTGGATCTGTAGTTGTGTCTCACTGGGATTCTGATGTGCCATTCCCTGCGGGCGAATGATGCTGGGTGTGGTTCATATACAGACCCTCCCTTTGGGAATCTTCTTTGTGAAAATGTCAATGCAGATGCTTTGCCCATTTTTTAACTTGGTTGTCTTGATAGGATTACGGGATGAGAGTTATTCGTATATTCAAGATACAAGTCCCATGTCAGCTTGCTAATTTGCAAAGATTTTCTTCTATTTTGTGAGTTGTGTTTTCACTTTCCTCACGATGTCTTTGGCATCACAAAGATTTTTCATGAGATCCAGTCGTCTACGTCTTGTTATGATGGCTTGTGCTTTGGCGTCTTTTCTAAGAAACCGTCGCCTGACCCACTGTCATGAAGATGTGCTTCCAAGGGTTTTTCTAAGAGATTTACAGGTTTTTCTTGGTTTTACTATAATTTTACATGAATAATTTTACATAAATAGAATCGCATCTACCTGACTGCAAGTTTTAATGGTGGATACCCTTGCTTTGCATGTGCATCGTGATCTGCAGTGTTGATGGCCGCAGGTTTGCCTGGGGCCTCGGCGCCGGGGCTGCGTCTGGGATGGTCGTGGTCAGCTCTGCCATCAGTGTGATGGTCCATCCAGCACAGTTGTCCACAGGTGGTGGAAGCACGGTGGGCCTGAGAAGCATCACAGACTCAGCTGAGCTGGAGAGGCCTGTCCAGCCTCTGCCATGGAAATTCCATTTGGGACACGGACATTGTCACCTGCTGTCCCCTCCGGGAATCCACGGCTCTCCTCAGAACACTCCAGCACCCTGGCCACGCCAGCTCGTCTTCCCGGGCAGGAGGGAGCACTCACACTCGGATGTGCATGGGCAGCCTTGGGGGACCTGCAGCTTGGTGCTTTTGGGAACACACCTGTGTGTCTCCTCTTTCGGTTCACAAAACCCTGGGAGGGAGGAGCCACACAGCCAACCCCCTTTTTCTGGGGGCCTCATGGGCAGGGAAGTGTCTCCTCCAGGCCCCACAGTGAGGTCAGGCAGAATCAGGGCTTGAAGCTTCATGGGTTGGACTCCAGGGCCACTGCCACTGCCCTAGCCAGAGTTGCTCCCTTCAGTAACATTCCACAGAGTTTCAGAGTGTAAGGCGCTGACAGGGGAGCTATGGACAAGAGTCCCAGTTCCCCTGCACAGGGCAGACCCCACAGGCCAGAAGGAGGGCACCAGGGAAGGAAGATTCTAGTCTGGCGGCTCAGAGATGAGGCCCTGCTGGGCACCAGGCCTCTTCCCACACAGAGTGGGGAATGTTTCAGGGGGAGGGGGGAGCTGCTGGAGGCCCTGGCACTGTGTCAGGCCCACCGAGGCCCCCGCCCCTGTGTATCCCCAGCTCTGCTTCCAGGGGTCCAGGCTCCTCCCCACTGTTCTCCCTCCCCTCCCTTCCCTCTCCCCTCATCTTACTCCCCCTGCCCCCCTTTTCTCCTCTCTCCCTAGCCTCCCACATTTTGCCATGATCTTCACCCTACAGGCCACCTGGTCAACATGCAGGATTGGAGCTATTGGACTTGCTGGTCATTCGTATCTAAGGAGCCTGATGGGTCCTGTGTTTTTTTATGTTAATATCAGGGGAACTGCGGCATTCATGCTATTCCCCCAAGCAGGACACCGGGCCAGCCAGTCCCTACTGTGGGGTGTCCTGTGCACCACGGGACACTCAGCGGTGGCCTGACCTCTTCCTGCCAGATGCCAGAGACACCCTCCTTAGCTGTGACCATCAAAAACGTCTCCAGATGGCCAGGCACGTGGCTCACACCTGTAATCCCAGCAATTTGGGAGGCTGAAATGGGAGAATTGCTTATACCCAGGAGTTCAAGACCCACCTGGGCAACAAAGTGAGACCTTGTCTCTACTAAAAAAATTAAAAATTAGCCAGGCATGGTGGCGTGCACCTTGGTTCCAGCTATCTGGAAGGCTGAGATGTGAGGATCACCTGAGCCCAGGAGGTTGAGGCTGTAGTGAGCCATGTTCATGCCACTGCACTCCAGCCTGGGTCACAGAGTGAGACCCTGTCTAAAAAAAAAAAAAAGCCTGCAGACATTGCCACGTGTCCCCCTGGGAGCACAGGAGCACAGCTGCCCATGGGTAAGAACCACCAGCTTAAAGGAAAAAAGAAAAGGGAGGGAGGGAGGCCCAGACGCTGTCAGCGGGTGCTGGAGTCCAGACGCAGCTCCGATACCAGCACCGTGTGAGGTTGGACCAGACCCTTCTCGTCCCCAGCCTCAGCTGCTTCACCTGTATAATGGGGGTCACCCTCCTCACCCCACAGTGCTGCCCCTAGAGAGTGTGCCCGAAGCCTGCACCCACTGGCGCCCGTGGCGCTGGTGCTCACAAGCTTCACGCAGGGCATAATTTGACTGGACCCGTCCATTCCCGCCAGACCCCTGAAGCTGATTCATGGAGCTCACGGCTCCTAGCCAGATGGTCTGGGCAAAAGCGCAGTTTGGGGCTTTACCTGTGTCTCCCCCTGGCACTCCCATGGAGCGTGGCTGCTTGTCAAGGGCCAGCGGGTCAGCGGCTCTCCCTCTGCGTGGCTGGGCCTGGCACCCATGGAGGCTAGGGCAGCAGTGGGCCGGGGAAGAGCCTCTGTGGCCCACAGGACTCCCACAGGGTCACGTGGCAGCTGCCACCCTCTGCCCAGGGAGGGGCAGAGCCAAGCCCTTCCTGGCACACTGAAATAGACTCCCGCCACACTGTACGCCAGACACACACCTGTCTCCCAGGCGTTCAGGAAAGGGGTTCTCAAAAGGCACTCGGGGTGGGGGATGTGTGGTGGGGGTGGGGAACGTCTGCTGACCCTTCCTCCATGTGTAGGGGCAGCACGAGTGAGCTCAAAACCCCCACAGCCCCGTGTGCTGGGAGTCACAGCCTGCACCAGGAGTCCCTGAAATGCGGGCTTCAAACAACAGATACCGATTCTCTCGCCGTTGTGGGGGCCAGAAGTCTGACATGAAGGTGCCAGCAGGGCCCGGCTCTCCACAGGGGTGTAGGGAGGCTCAGGCTTCCTCTTCCCACTGCGGGTGGCTCCAGGCACCCCTTGGCATGTGGCCGCAGGGCCCCCGTCTCTGCCCCTGCCATCACGGGCCGTCTTCCCTGTGTGTCTCTTCGTGTCCTTTTTTGTCTCTTATGAGGACACCAGTCACTGCATTTAGGGTCGGTCCTCATCCACAATGACCTCATCTCCATCTTTACCGTAATTACATACGGAAACATCTAAACAAGGTCACATTCTGAGCTTCCAGGTGGGTGTGACCACAAGACGACGTGTCTCTATCTAGCGAATCAGAGTCCAGCACGCCGTCGTAGGATGTGTTGCACCTGCACACCCAGCACAGCTGCCTCCAGCTGGCACAGCCCCTGCATACCAAATATGGCCAGCACCATGCAGAACAGAGTTTTAGATTTTATTTAATTTTAATTCAAGCAGGGAACCTGCTGGTTGCCAGACGTGTTCCCAGGCTCTAAAACACGAATGCACTAAACCTTCAGTGACCTTGCACAGCTGGTCTCCTTGCCCTGGCTCTCTAAGGCAGGAAAGAGATGAAGTCATTGTCTAGCCCAAGGCCACTGCCATGGATTGAATGTGGTGTCCCCTCCTCCAGACTCACACGCTGATATCCTGAACCCCAGTGTGATGGGATTTGGAGGCGGGGCCTTGGGGAGGAATTAGGTCTTGCAAGTGGAGCCCTCATCATGGGATGAGTACCCTTGTAAGGAGAAGCCAGAGGCTGCCTCGCTCCTCCTACCACATGAGGGTACGAGGAGAAGGCGGCTATCTGCAGCCCAGAAGTCAGACCCAGAGCCCAACCATGCTGGCACCCTGATCTTGGACTTCTAGCCTCCAAAACGGAGAAAAACAAATGTCTAATGTTTAGAAGCCACCAGTCTATGGGGCTTCCACACATCCTACCTGGCTGCCCCCGGCTTTCCCCTGACTGGGCTGCCAGTGCCCCCACAGGCTGTGCCCATCCAGGGACCTGAGGCTGGGGGCAGAGGTCCTGAAGGACCACACACAGTGGGTGTGTCTAGCTGCTAGGGGCAGGAAATGTTTCCTTTTAACATTTCCCCGAGTTTTGACATTTATAATTTGACATCAGAGGAAACACTCTCAATGCCACCTTTAAGGGAAAAGGAATAAAAAGCAGAAATACGTATGCCCCACTCCCTGTCACTCACTCAAATCCCCTGCACAAGCGAATCAGAGGCCAGCACCCCATCATAGGATGTGCGGCACCTGCATACCCAGCACATCTGCCTCCAGTTCGTGCAGCCCCTGCGCACCTGAAACATGGCCAGCACCATGCAAAACAGAGTTTTAGATTTTATTTGATTTTAATTCATTTTAAATAATCACACATGGCCAGTAGCTACCATACTGGTTCATGCAATTAGACTAAGACACGCTGTAAGACAGGTGTTTAAAGACGGTGTCTCTAAGATTCAGGGAGAAATCCGGGCCACAGAACTTGAAACCCTGACACCCCACCCCAAAGCCCACCACACTGTGCTGTCATCATGACTGTGTTCGCAAGCCAACTATACGCACATATGAGTCTTCTGCGGACACGCCTTTCAGCAGCAGCCAGTGGGGCTGGGAGCAGAGACAGGTACGCTCCCTCTCTCTCTCTGTGGCTCTGGGGTCCTGGGAGGGCTGGCCTTGAGAAGTGTCAGGGCTAGAAGAGGCCATAGTGATCACCAGCCACCCCTCTCCCCGCCATTGTACGGATGGGAGTGCGGGGGCAGCCTGGAGAGTCCTGTACCTAATCCTGAGAGGAGATCTCTTCCATGCTCAGAGACACCGAGAAGCCAACCGCACCAGCCCAGGACATGGGCCAGGGAGGCTGCTGGAGCCAGACTTCCGCTAGTCAGCACAGGCTGGTGCCCTGCAGGCTCCCAGCGCTCAGCACTGCCTGGGGTTCCCACGGAGAAGGAGCCTCAGATCCCCCTCGCCTCCAGCCTGCTATCCACCCCTAAGCATCGAGTTTATTCAAAGGCAGCCCCCAAGGGAGGCCCTGGTGGTCTCAGGCTGGAAGGGGAACACTCGAGTCTGGAAAGAACTCAGCCAGCAGGTAGTGATGGCTCAGAGGGCCAGGGATGGAGACGCAGGATGGCCAGGGTGGTGCTAGATGGCCGAGGCCCGGCCGCGTCTCTCACCAGTTTCGGGATGGCCCATAGTGGGAAACATCACGTTGCTTTGAGGCCATCATGTTAAGGGGATTTTCTGTAATGTTCGGGACAGGGGCATGTGGAGAGGTCGGAGGTCGGCCTTCTGAGTCCTGCCTGGGCCCTCAGGGTCCTCCTGGCTCAAGCCCAACAACTGCAGTGGCTATGGCAGGGAGAGCGGGCGCCGGCGCCGGGCACTGATCCGGGCCTTTCCACAGCTTTTTAGAGTATCAGGTTGTCTAAGCTTCCCTGAGACACTGTGAGGCGGCGCCATGCTCGGCCCCACCTTACTGGAACTTGAAGGGAGGCAGCCTGGCCCAAGCCCAGGGTGTGCTTGGCGGCATCCAGGGGAGCACAGGGTGACCTGACCTGGCCTGGAGGGAGCAGGGGGGCTTCCTGGAGGAGGGGGTGTCAGAGTCCAGCTGTGAGAGGGAGGAGGAATTAGCCAGGCTCAGGGAGGGGAGAGACAGTCTGGGCAGAGGACAGTGCAACAAGGACTGGAATACAAAATCCATATCGCTGGGCTGATGTCAAGGCAGCCCTGAGGCCAAGTTCCCCAAAGGCTCTAGGGCAGGCTGTCCTTGCCTTGCCCGGCTCCTGGGGCGGCCTGTATTTCCTGACTGTGGACGGCAAGGTGGCCCCAAGGTTGAGCTCCCCCGAAGGCTCTAGGGGAGGCTGCGCTTACCTTGCCCCGCTCCTGGGGCTGCCTGCATTTCCTGGTGGCGGCAGCATCACTCCAGGCTCTGGCTCTGTGGTCACCCCACTCTGCCTCTCTCTTAGAATAACTGTGATGACACTCAGGGCCCACTCAGATCATCCGGGATCAGCTCCCCATCTCAGCATCCTGGTGTAATCCCATCTGCAATGACCCTTGTTCCAAATAAGGCAATATTCACAGGTCACAGGGATCAGGACCTGCTATGCTAGGGTGGGGCACAATTTCTCAGCTGACCACACGCAGCAGCAACTTATCTGATACTATATGTAAATAGTGAACAAAAAATTCACAGAAAGCACCTTTATTCCTTATGATGTGCTCTACTGCTTTCTACTCAACTCACCTTCTTATGTAACGCACACGGCTGTGACCCACTAAACTGATTTCCTGCCAGGGACTGGGTCGCCACCTGCAGTGCAGAAAATTCTCTCCTAACCTCTGCAGCTGCATCCTGCCAGGGTGGGGACCAGGCGAGAACTACGATGACTTTAGTAAAAGAGGGGGATGAGCTGTTTATGCACACGGAGGGCAGGTGGGACTGACAAGAGCCTGGGAGGACCCCCGACCCCTCCCCGACTCTCTCACATGCTCTTAGCCACCTTCTGCTGGCCCCAGCACAGAAGTCTGCATCCCTGAGCAAAGCAGCCTGCACCCCCAGCGCAGCAGCCTGCACCCCCAGCGCAGCAGCCTGCACCCCCAGCGCAGCAGCCTGCATCCCCTGCACAGCAGCCTGCATCCCCAAGCACAGCTGTGCTGGCCGAGCTCAGGCCTCGGGGTGCCTGAATATCTCTCTGTGGAGGTGGGGTGTGCTAGCAGGATGGCTCAAGTGACACAGGCAGGACCTGGTTAGAAAGGAAACAGCGTGCATGGTCCCATGAGGCTGCAATCACCCCCCTGCTCACTCATGCTCACCCCCTCCCCGGCACACAACCCTTCACTCCCTGACAGCCCAGCACTGTGGCTGCCAACCATCACGGGGGCATAGATGGGGTACAATGTACAATTACTCACATCTTCATTTCTGAACACTGCTTAAAAGCTGAGAAGTAATGAGATCAGACCCTGAAACAGGGTCAGGCGGGAGAGATTTTCACTGAGACTTAAAGCAAGGAAGACACCAGTGCTTTTTCAGGATTGTAAAACCTTAGGTTTAGAGGGATCTGAGACCATCCAGTCCCTGGAGAAGGATGTCCAGCCCTGGCATCTCCTGAGCACTGGGCCCCCAGCCTCCCTCTGAGTGCTGGATGCCTCCATGGGGAAGCTTTGGGCACCTCACAGTCAGAAAACAGAATACAGAAGGCCTGCTCACTGCCACCTCCCTCACCGCCACTCCCGCCCCCCAGCAATGCTGCACATCATGAAGCAAGGCCCTTACCCTGCTGTCTTCCCTCGGGTGACTCAGTCCTGGGCCTGCAACAGGCCTCAACGCTCCACAGCCCTGGGACCTGGGCCCAGCGACTGAACCTCTTAGAGCCTCAGTTTCCTCATCTGTAAATGGGGATACCATGGACTGGGTTGCAGGGAGACTAAATGAGATGATGCCTGTGAAAGTGCCTGGCCCCTACCCGGGCACGTGGCGGGCACTTGGTAATTGGCATCTTTGTTCCCCAGTTCCTGACTCGATGGGTGTCCTGTCGCTGCTGTGACACAATGCCACAGACAGCGGCTTAACAACAGGCATTTA